CATGAGGCTTTGGGAGACATCTAGAAATATAAGACATCTTTCTTCTTTTGTTTCTCCACAGAGTGTCACTCTACTCCAGAAATTTATTCAGCTCAGTGTTTAATATAATAGGAAGTAGTGTTAAAAGCAAATGGAGCTTAAGAATTTAATGCTCCTTGTTTTTCGTCTTAGCAAAACAATAGAGAATTTATTAATTTTAATGTCATTGAATAGTAGTGTAATTTTACAGTTTCAAAGGAAATTTTATTCATTTAATTGCAATGGTGAGAATAAAATATATTACAGGAAATTGGCAAAATAAAACCACCCATAATCCTGTCACCTTAATTCAGCCATTAGGCTATTTTAATGTATGTGTTACTTTCTAGTGTGGCTTCTTATGTAGATTTTTGCATAGTTTTTGCCAGAGTGCAACCCCATTTTCTATCCTGATCTTTTACTTAACATAAAATAATTATATCTTGCTGTTTATTCTTCATAACCAGAGACTAAAATGCATACAGAGAGCTGAGCATTGCAGCACATACCTCTAATCCCAGCTACTCAGGAGTCTGAAGCAGGAGTGACAAGTTTGAGGCCAGCCTGCACAATTTAGCAAGAATTTGTTTCAAAATAAAACATTAAAAATGTAACAATGGTACAGCCCTTGTTCAGTGGGGATAAGGCCCTGGGTTCACTCCCCAACCCTGCCATCCCCCGCACACACACAAAGCATGCCGAATGTATTCTTAGTAGGTGTTACATAAAATAATCACCATCCGTGATCGAACATTTTGATTTTCTTTTTACCGTGATAGTCAGTGCGCCTAAAAATATTTTTATACATACAGCTTTTTGCATTTTTAAAGAGGTGATCTCACTATATTACTTGGGTTGGACCCAAATTCCTGGGCTCAAGTGATCTTCCTGTTACAGTGTGCTATGTGACTGGGACCACAGGTGCATGGCACTGTACTAGTTTTCGCATTTAAATTGTTATGTAGATTATCTTGTACTGTTGGTTCCCAGTTGTGGATAAAAGGGTATGAGCATTTTTATGCATTTTAATTCGTATTATTCATTTTTATTTATTTATTTATTTTGTCTTTTTGAGACAGGGTCTCACTATGCAGTTTGGGCTGGTCTTGTGCTCACTTTGTAGCCCAGGCTGGTCTCAAACTCACAATGATCCTCCTGCCTCAGCCTCCTGAGCTCTGGGATTACAGGCGTGCGCCACCATGCCCGGCTAATTCATATTATTCAGTTATTTCCAAAAGGACTGTAGAAGTCTTCACTAGCAATCTGAAAGTATTTTAGCATACTTTTGACAATTTCAGGTATTTTTTTTTTTTGCTTTTTTAGTAAGTGAAAAGAGGTGCATTGATTTTTTTATTTGCTTTATTACTACAGAGCATTATAATTTCTCTATTTGCTTACTAGATATGGTATCTATGTATATCCTTTGGTTATTTATTTACTTGATGCTTAATTTTCTTTTAGCATATTTAAAATTATAATATTTATGGAAGATATTTTAAAAGTGTGCTTGCTTTATCATTTAACCAAAATTTGTTTTTATTATAGTTAAAAATGCTAGAAAAATGAACACATGAAGCTTTCTTTTTAGCATTGAATTTCTTTTGAAATTAGATTTGTTTGATCAGGGCCTAGTTATACATTGTGATTCTCTACCACATGTATAGTTAGCAACCAAGAATTCTTCAGGTAATAGAAACACCTGATAATTTTCTAATTTTTTTTTTAGGAAAAGAGGAGCTAAAGTTGTGTCCAAGAGAGTTGATGATTTTAAAGAAAAGTTTCAGCATACACTTGGAAAAGTTTTAGATCCGTAAGTTAATGAGTAATTACATATTGTTTAGAGTCTTTGCATTGAAGTTAAAAACGTGCTCCTATGCTAAATGTTGCTTTGTGTTTTATTAGATTCTATTAAATGAGAAAATAATTGTTACACTTCAATGGAATGATGCTATTCTTCATAGCATTTAGGGTCCCAGGACACTGATGAGTTCTCCAAGACAGGGATTTGAAAAAGGAGGGAGAATTTGCATAAAACTCTTTTTTTTTTTTTTACACTTTATTTCTGAGATATCAGGGATTTAACTTACTGTACTTACATTTTTCTCTGTCATCTCTGCCTGTCTCACCCTCTATTTTAGTAATTTTGCTTTGAATCTAGTTTACTGAAAGGCAGTGAAAGCATTTATCCATTGTTGATAGTGCAAGTAGATGATGAGAAAATAGATCTTTTGGAGAAGTTTTGTTTGATCTTCATAGATTGTGAAAGGAGAAAGTGTAGGATGAGAACATATGGCAGATGTTTTAAATTCCAGGAATTCCATGCGGTAGGAATTTTGACTAAAAGATTTTTTTTCTTTGGTAGCATTGCAGAAACAATGAATGCTCCTCCAGGCCACACATTTGGAGCTTGTCTCTCTCCTGAGGACTATGGTAAATATATGAACTTTCTCTTTATGAAGCAGACAATGAACAAACATTGTCCAAATCCCGATAAAATTACTCACTATCTCCTTTTAAGGCTTCTAATTTTAATTTTTTTTGTTTTTTTGTTTTAGTTGTTTTGAGACAGGATCTCACTGTGTTGTCAAGGCAGGTCTTGAACTCACTATGGAGCCCAGGCTGGCCTTGAATTTGTAGCCATCTTCCTGCCTCAGCTTCCTGAGTGCTGGGATTACAGGTGTGCACCACCACTCCTAGCATATTTGTTTATTTTTTGAGACAGGGTTTCACTATGTACTTTAGGCTGGCCTCCAGCTTGTACCAGTCTTCTTACCTCTGCCTTCTGAGGCTTCTATTATGATGATGATGATGTCTTTTTGAGACAGGATTTTGTTATACAGTTCAGACTGGCCTGGGACTCATTTTGTATCCCAGGCTGGCTAGAACTCACAGTTGATTCTTCTGCCTCAGCCTCCCAAGTGCTGGGATTACGGGTGTGTGCTGCCTTATCTGGCCAAGGCTTCTAATTTTAAAGCCTTAAAATGTTGTGTAACACTACGAGAAAAAATATGTTGTATAACACTACGAGAAAAAATATTCAATTCAAGAAAGGTCTTTTTTTCATATTGCATTTGAAATAAGTACAGTTTAAAGCCCTTAAAATGAGTACCATAAGTGTAGTTAAGGCTTTAAATTTTTTCTTCCCACTGAGACACAGTACGGTAATACCTTGGTTTACAAATGCTTCTTTTGTTCACAAACAGTTCGGTTCTCAAACAAAAGTGGGTAACAAACACAAACGCAGCTATCTTCTCCAAAACTGTAAAAAAAATTAAGTTTAAGAACTGAGGTGTCACTGTACCAACACCTACAATTTAAAGGAGGAGATGTGTCTTGGTTATTTATTGTTGTTGTTGTTGCTGAGAATTCAAGAAGGAAGGGTTTATTTAGCTCACAGTTTGTGGAAGTTTCAGTCCATACTTGGCTGGCTCCAAGGCAGAGTGGCACATGGCAGAGGGCAACAGTTCAAGGCGGTGGAAGACAGAAAAAGCAGCAAGACCTAAAGGTGTGGGAAGCAAGCCTCTTTTCCTTCCTTCTATTGTAAGCGGGCTCCCCTGCCCCCGGGGGTGCAGCACTCACTTAATCTCCATGCCCTCCTCTTGCACAGGCTCAGGATGGATGTACAGTAAGGACCCTGGCCCCCTGTTCAGTCACTTAGTTAACTTTTTAAACTTCTCAAATTGACACAATGAACAACATCCCAGAAGCGTAAGAGCAAGTCCTTTTCACCCCAGGATGTAGAGCTGCTGAGTCACTTAGCCAAGCCTCTAGACTTCTGAAGTTGACACATAACCATAACAAGTATCACATAACAAGGTGACACATAACCGTAACAAGTATCAACCATAACAAGATGTATATTTTCACTCACATTTTGTAAGAGTTTTAGTCCATAGTTGGCTGGCTCCAAGGCATGATGGCATGGCACAGGGGCAGGGTGGACAATGTTGCTGTAGGCGAGGAGTGGTGGTGCATGCCAGCACTTGGGAGGCTGAGGCAGGAGGATTGCCACAAATTTGAGGCCAGCCTGGGCTAAACAGTGAGCTTAAGAGCACCCTGAACTAAATAGTGAGACTCTGTCTCAAAAACAAAAAATTCCTCCCATCCTGAGGGTCTTTCCTTAAAAGAGTTTAATCATCACATGGATAATTGGTTCCTGCTTTTATAATAAATAAGCAATTTACAGGTGCTAGGAGTACCTATTAAAAGAGATCCTGCCGGTGTGGTGGCACACCCCTGTAATGCTGGCACTCCGGAGGCTGAGGCAGCAGGACTGCAAGTTTGAGGTCCTATGGAACAGAGTGAGATCCTATTCCGGGGCCGGGGAGGAGAATCACCTTGAAAGGCTAATATTATGCCTTCCACAGAGTAGGTGTAAACATTAGCTGCCTTGAACTGCATGCGGTGTTGCCACTTAAATTAATCTACCCAGTTTACCACAGCCAACTGCCAGAATGATCTTCCTCCAAGAAAGCAGAAGATCTTTGGCAGAAGAGGGACAGGCGTAGAGCAGGAGAAAATGAATAGAGGCAGAAAGGCCCTTCTGGCTGTACCCAGCAGCAAGGTCAGCTCTATTTGGGGTTGTGGGTTAGGACTCACTCCCAGTTACTGGAAGGGGTAGACTTCCAGGGACACGGGCAGTACCGGGGAAGGCAGGGCTGAGAAGCAGGAATTTGGCATGCAGACTGAAAGCCAGCTGGAGAGTGGGGGTGGGGGTCGAGAATTTCAGTTTTTTTTTTTTTTTTAACAGGGGGTCCTGTAAGTTCAGCCAACTCCAGGAACTCTAAGGTCCTGTCCTGAAATCAGGCCCCGCCTTCAGACCCTCATGGTAGACAGATGTGGCCCAGAGGTAGTGAGGCCTGGGCTTCCTTGGCTTCTTTCACACTTTTTTTTTTGGTACCGGGAATCGAACTCAGGACCTTGTGCTTGCCAGGCAGGCACTTAGGCCACTGAGCTAAATCCCCAGCCCCTTCATTGACTTTGGAGAAGACATGATTGCTGGATGAGGCTAATGATGCCCCCACCAACTTCATGTTTCTAGACTTTTTTCTTGAGTAGAGAAGTGATACAGAATAGATACAGTAACTTTTATCAATTATTTTATGTTTTTTTTATGCACAAGGATTTGTAATAGCTTCAGAGTTAGATTTAAGTTCTTCCATTCACAGAAACTGCTCTCTCTCTCTCTCTCCCTGTCTTTCTGAGAAAAATACTGAGACTTTAAATTCACATGAAAGACTTTTCCTCTCTTTCACAGGAGCTGATGATCTCATCTATAATAGGCTCCCAGGACAGTATCTTCGAGGGAAGGACAGAAAGCGTGCCCTGATTGCTGCAGTTCGATATCACTTGAAGAAATTTAATTACCAGAACTTTGACACTTTGCTGGCAGCCTTCAGGCACTACGACAAGGTCAGTAGTAGAGTGGAGTTTTCGGCATATGCATGGGCTGAGGAATCCCAGCGGGTTGGTGTAGATCAGGGGTCAGCAAACTATGGCCAAGTCTAGCCCACTACTTGTTTTACTAAGTAAAGTTTAATTGAAACATTTCCATGTCCCTTTTCAGTATTACCTGCAGCTGTTTTTGTTCTACACATGCAGAGCTGAGAAGCAACAGAAAATTTATCATTTGGCTGTTACTAAAATTTTGCCGACAGCCAGGGATTTAGCTCAGTGGCACAGCGCCTGCCCAGCAAGCATGAGGTCATGAGTTTGATTCCCTGGAACCACCCCCCAAAAAAATCCGAAAAATAAAATAAAATAAAATTTTGCCGATTTCTGGTGTGTAGATGAGTAGTCGTCACATATGGTTCCTCTGCTATTATCAGCATACTTGGGAACTTGTTAGAAATGCACATTCCAAGCCTCCCACAGATTGACTGAATTTGGAGCTGTGGGACAGCGCCCTGCAATTTTAGCATGGACTCCAGATGTTTCTGATCTGTAACTCTGAGAGCCATTACTGTGGGGCGTTAAATTGCAGCATACTCCCAGGGTTTCATGTATGCTAGGCATGTGCTCTACCACTGAGCTACACCCCCAGCCCCTTTCATGCAGATCTAGATATCTCACACACAGGATATTGGAGGAAACTTACACGACAGTGACATGAAGAAAAAGAACCTACCACAATGCCTAGTGCTTTGCTTTTTAAAGTTCTTACTTTTAAATGTCATTATAGAAAATATGATCATCGTAATAACTGTTGATTATCTGAATAGACCACTAGGCACATTCCTTATGATAAAATTAAATTAAGCAGGGAGGAAATGACTCATAATTACTTAATGCTGAAATACCTTTTAAATAGTTCACTTTTAATATGCACAACGCAGTGCTCAGTGTCCTTAAGGAGCTTTTTATTGAGAGGGTAATAAGATGTGAGTTTAGTACAGTGGTAGGATAATTTTTGATTATTGGAGTCTGATATTGTTGAATGCCCAGATTTAATTTAATAGTAAAAAAAAACCTCAACAACAAACAAATCCAGAGCAAATAAACTATGATTTCCTAAACGACTCTTGGCTTGTAAAATTAATTCTATCCTTTGTTGAAAACCCGTAAAACATCAAACGTTATTCTAGATAGTGTATAGACCTTCCACTTAGGAAACTTGAAATCTAGAGGAGTGAACCATAAATTAAAGTAGCTGTGGTGTGCTGGCTCCGACAGCTGGCTTGAGAGAGCATCTTGTTGAAATTTTAGGACGTTTGTAAGGTGGCTAACTTCCCAGTGGTACTTAGACGCTGATCCTGATGAGGGCACTTACACCGTGGGCAGTAGCAACTGCTGCAAATCAGGGCTTTTCCCAAGAGCCAGTTGTGAAACATACAGAGCCCAGCACTGGAGTAGAAGGAGAGCCAGACACCGTGATAAACTTGCAGCCAGGCTTCCGGCTGTAAGCTACAGTGCACCATGTAATTCATGATGGATGTTCTTAGCGATGCAAGTTAGCTGATTATTTTCTCTTTTAATTAACTGTCTAATTAAGCATATGTAGAACCCGGTAATTTGTGCTCACTTAAGGGATACATTAGTTGCCAATATGTAAACACTGTTCAGTTAAAACTAGAATAGTCTCCTAAATACGTTTTGCTGGTAGGCCTAGGGCTCTCAGCTAAGTCCAGTAATCGTTTCCAGTACTGACTTCTGGAGGGCCTGCTTGAGGGCAGTGGGTTTGTTCATGCCATAGCTGACGGCGTCTACTTATTGATGGCATTCGCTTAATAGAATAACAGAATTTAGTCACCCTGTGGAATGGCCAAAAAGGGGTGTGGGAAGGTAAGCAGAGGTGCTGCGTGTGGGAGGCACAACAACTAGGGCCATTCTCTGCTGTTTCCAGTAGATTTTGCAGTAACGCTGAGAGCATGGCACCCAGACTGCGCATGGGGACGGGAGGGGAGGCTCACTGGGGAGGGGAGGCTCAGTGGGGAGGGGAGGCTCAGTGGTGTGCTTGTCTAGCAGGCTTGAAGCCCAACGTTCGATCCCAGCACTCCAAGAACAAACTGTGGACAGAACTGCCTGGCAGTCAGTCAAGCTTACGTTTCTTCTACCAGCGTGGTAGAGCTACACCACAGCTTTTCCTTCCTGATGCGGTCTCCTGGGAACAGGCTGAAACACCAAATAACGTCCTCCTCTCCCCTGAGCATCCCAGGTCTGCGGTGATCTCGCTCCAACAACTCCATTGCTGCTCTCCCTCTAGCACCAGAAAGACAGCGTGTCTTATTCCAGTGACAGTAACTTCACCTTTTCTCAAATCATTCCCTGTTCCCACTGAGACCTTTTGTCATTTTAGAAAAGGTCCAGAGAACTATTTCATTCCCTGCTTTGGCCGTCATGGGAAGACTTGGTGAGCAGAGAGCTCAATCGTGTGGTTATTATGCATGTGATCTAGGACCATATCAACCCAACAAGAGAGTCAAGCGGCCAAAATAAAATAAGTTCAGATCCTATAGAATCCTACCCCCCCCTTTTGTGATATTGGGTGTTGAACTCAGGGCCTTGCTCTTGCTGAGCACTCTTTACCACTGAGCTCCATCCACCACCCCTACAGTCCTTGTGCCTGGTTGGACCAGGGGAGTAGATCAGCCTTGCTGGTGGGGAGTGGCTACGGGGAGCAAAAAGAGGTATCATAACCAGGAATGGTCATAGCAGAATCCCGAGTTTTCAAAAGAGATCCTCATGATCCCTGCCCCTTTTATTTTGATTATTATTCAGGAAGCAGTTGACAACAGCTGTATGGGGGGACCACACTGCTTTTGCTAATGTCTGTGGACCAGCAGCTGATGAGAAAGGCAGACACTTTTTCGAGAACACCATTCTAATGCTCAGGAGTACCAGGTGGCAGGGGAGGTTAAGGAGCAAGGATGCTTCATTTAACACCGTGACTGACATTTCATTGCCGAGTGGCTTTTGTGCTGTAAGGTACACCACTGTCAGACTAAAAATAGACCAGAAAAGAAAGCAAAAGGATAAGACTAATTTCATGAGCTCTATCTTGGTTAACTTTTCTTGTTGTTGAGACAAAATACCCAATACCCGAAGTTAAAGGAGAAAAGGGTATTTCAGCTCACAGTTTGTAGAGGTTTTAGTCTGTAGTTGGCTGGCTCCAAGGCAGAGTGGCATGGCAGAGGGGCATCGCAGAGGAGAAATAGTCCATGGCAAGCAGGCAGGAGAAAGCAAAGCAGCAGAAGCCACTTCCTTTTATCCCTTGTAAGCTACATACCTTTTGGGTGGTACCACCCCTACCCAGGGTAGGCCTTCCATTATCACACCCAGAATTATATTAGACCAGTCAGTGGAATAATTTAGTAAACACACATCCTTAACTCTAGCATCACACAATTTAATCCTAGTATCACATACCCTCTATCTAGCCACCTCCCAAAACTCCCATCTATGAGCACATGAGACTCTGGGGGACATCCAGATACCAGCCATAACAGGCTCTGCTGTGATTGGAGGTAACCAGTGGCGTAGGACAGCAATTCCATGACCCAAAAAAGCATCAGTGGGTGTAAAGGCACCTTCAGCAGTTCTGAAGCAGTTCAAGGAACTCTGTCAGGAGCATGGGGCAGTATCTCTATGTGCTGCCTCTTCTCTCACTGTAGTATAGATGAGTTGCTCTTCAGCAGGAGTCACAGATTGGCGCAGAGTTTGTCTTTCTTTTCCAGAGGCTCTAGTTAGCAGAATCACGGTAATGGAGACTTCTAGTTCAAAGAGGTCACTAGGGTTGTGGGGGCCCCAGAGCACAAGCAGTTCTCCGTGCACAGGTCTCCTAGATCAGGACAATCTCCTCTGGCACTTAGGAACTCTCGCAGCGCAGGCACGGGGAACAGCAGTACCCATGCAGCCATGGAAGCCGTAGCAGTAATGAGTTTTTATTTATTTATTTATTTTTTTGCTGCTGAGGATTGAACCCAGGGCCTTGCCTGTGTGAACAAGTACTCCAGCTCCATTGTTGGGTTTCATTATTCCCTGTGAACCCTACCTGAACCCCACTGCTGTTGTGGTTGCATGCAGCTCAGTGAAACAAACCACCAATGTTTTCAGTCTAGACAAAGCCCTGTGTTGGGCAGCAAGGTCGTTATTACTGACAGCATCTGTTTTGGTTTTGTGAACCTCTTGATTCAATAGCTGTTCCTGCATTGCTTTTTGAGCTGGTGATATGAGGTTTGTACTGACGGACTTTGCCCTGCCGTACAGACTTTCATACAAGTGTTTACATTAACCCCATGCATTTGTAATTGTGTGGTCAAGATAGTACGTTTTAAGTTCGTATTCTGTTTTAACATGAGGCTTAGGGAACTTTTCCAGGGCTGCACGTCTGACTGCAGAAATGGATGTAGTGTTCATTGGGTCTGGTTCATTCTACAGGGGATCAACTCCATCAGCATTGTAAATCTGATCCTGGACACTCAAAACCTGAACACTATTCAACGATTCATTCATAGCTTCCCTTCAAGAGTCTCTCCAAGGGGGCCACAGCTCCCTTAGAGCAGCCAGAATCCACTGCAACAAATAATAAAATGAAAAGCTTTTTTTGGGTGTGATGTTCTGGCTTGTATCCAAATGTCCCCCCAAAGCCTCATACTTGTGGGCAGGGCTTTTGGTAGGTGGTAGGATCTTTGATGTGTGATACTAGACAAAGGGTGTGATAACTGAATTAGTCTGTTGATTGGTTTAACATAGTTTTGGGTGTGGATAATGGAAATCCCACCCTAGGTATAAGTGACACTAACCAATAGGCTTGTAGTCTGGATGGATTAAAAGAGAAAGGGAGGCTCGCTGCTTGCTGCTTGCTGCCTGCCGTGGACTGCTTCTCCTCTCCAATACCCCTCTGCCAGGCTGCTTTGCCTTGAAACCAGCTGACTATAGATCAAAACCTCTACCAACTTTGAGACAAAATAAACCTTTCCTCCTTTAACTTGTAGGTGTCCAGCACTGTGTCCTAGCAAGAAACTAATTTAAAACAATGGGGGCTTGAACTCAGAACCTGAACCCGCGATAGGCAAGTGACTCAGCCCCTGAGCTACACCTTCAGGCTTAAGCAATTCTTCATCGTCCTCTCTGAGTGGGTTTAAAATTGGTTTGATGGTCTTCAGGAGGGGCTGAGATGTCCCAGCTATCGCTGTTCTTCCTTAAAAAGCGTTGCGTGATCTGTCCCCTCACTTCCCAAGTGAGTCGGCCAAGGTTTCTACTCAGAACTCTCATGGAATTTCCCTCCGTTTGTGCATAGTGTGTGCTTCTGTCTTTAATTCTTTCATGAAAAGAGACTTTCCCCTCCCACTCCCTGCCAGAACAAATCTTCATTATTATTTTTTTATTTTTTATTTTTTTTGGTTTTTCTCCGGTACCAGTAACTGAACTCACGACCTTGCGCTTGCCAGGCAGGCACTTTGCCGCTGAGCTAAATCCCCAGCCCCAATCTTCATTATTATTTATTTACTTATTTATTCAGTACTAGAGATTGAACCCAGCATCTCTGCAATGACGTGCACTCTCAGCTCTTTTGAAAACTTTATTTTAAGCCGGAGTCTCACTAAGTCTCTTGGTTGCCTCCTGAGCCCCAGTAGCTGGAATTAAAGGCATGTGCCAGTGCACCTGGCCAGCGTGAATTGTAGTGTTGTTACAATGTGGGCTGACTTAGTTTGCCACTTTCCCTCCCTCCCCTTTTTGAGCACAGGGTCTCAGTCTATAGTTCAAGTTGGCTTTGAACTCACTATGCAGCCCATGCTGGCCTGGAACTCATGGTAATCCTCCTGCCTCAGCCGCCCTAGTGCTGGGATTACAGGCATGTGCTGGCTCAGTCTCTCCTTCTTGTCCTCTGGTTACCAAGCACAACCACGCAAGTATCTTTGAATCTACCTCACGCTGAAGGGAAGAGCATTTATGGCCCAACCGAAACATGGATAGTGCTAAAAACTCCGTAAACACGGACAATTGTAAAAGAATTGTCAAAAGTACACAACACTTGTCAAATGAAATGGGAAGCATATATGATTGTACCGGTGCCATCCCAATGTAAGCAGCATAATTTAAAGAAAATGGTTAAACTAGCACAAGGGCCGGGAGTGTAGTTCACTGATAGAGGCTGTGGTTGGCATGTGTGAGGCCCTGGCTTCAATCCTCAACACCACACAAAAACAAGGAGTGAACAAAGGTCCTGAGCCACACCCTACCGCAGTCTAGGTTTGAAATTATTGTGTGTCTATCAGGCTGACACAATGAGAATCAGTCTGGGGCTCCTCTCTTGTGAAAACAGACAAATGCTTTGCATTTGTGTGACGGACTATTTCTTTTTACTTAAACTAAATAATGGATAGTGCCTGTTCTCTCAGACCGTGCTGATTACTTCATCTCTTTTTGCTTCATGTCTAACAGAAGGGAGATGGAATGATAGACAAAGCAGAGCTGCAGGAAGCTTGTGTCCGGGCCAACTTGCACTTAAATGAGACGCTCCTCACCCAGCTGTTTGACGAGTGTGATATGGATCATGATGGCTTCATTAACTACCTGGAATTTGCAAATTTTCTTAACTGGAAAGATAGTATACCTCTTAAACAGTATGAAGAGAGGGTCGTTATTAAAGGTATTTAATTTTAATTTTTTTTGTTGTTGTTGAGACTGGTTCTCACTGTGTAGTTCAGGCTGGTCTTGAACTTGCTATGTAGCCCAGGCTGGCCTCGAACTTGCAGGCGATCCTCCTGCCTCAGTCTCCTGGATGCTGGGATCACAGGTATGCAGCACAAGCCTGGCAAAGATATTTAATTCTTGAAGTTTGTTGAATTCTTAAGTAAAATTTCATATTTTCATTCTTTTAGGAGCTTACCTCTTACCAATTTTAATATTACATAAAAAGAAAAAAGTGCACATACATACATATTTATTTATTTGCTCAAGCATAGAATATCTGTGGAAGGACAGGAAAGATATTGATAATATTTATTATTCACAGGGAGAGGGAATTAGCTGGGTAAGGGACAAGGTAGCAATAAGATGTATTTTTAATGTATGTTTTATATCTTCTAGAACCATGTATTATTATTTAAAAATGAAAACAGATGCGTGTGGTGGTGCCTACCTGTAATCTCAGTTACTTGGGAGGCTGAGGCAGGATGATCTGAAATTCCTGGCCCACCTGGGAATTTATTTTTCTTTTTTTTTGTTTTTGTTTCCGGTACTGGGAATCGAACTCACGAACTTGCGCTTGCCAGGCAGGTGCTGTGCTGCTGAGCTAAATCCCCAGCCCCATACCTGGGAATTTAATGAGACCTAATCTCAAAATAAAAAATAAGAAGGGGTGGGAATGTAGCTCAGTGGTAGAGTGCCCTGGATATGATCCCCAGTACTTAAAAAAAGGGAAAAAATTGAAAGTAAAATGTATGTAGAAGCTCAAAACATAGTTCTTTAAAATACTCCTTGAAAACTACTCTTAGAAGAATTATCTCCTTTTGATCAGGAAAAATTGTTGGTGGAATAGGAATAGTTTTTTTTTTTTCTTTTTTTTTCCTGTCTTTTGGAGACAGGGTCTTGCGATGCAGTTCAGGCTGGCCTTGAGCTCACTTGGTAGCCCAGGCTGGCTTTGAACTTACGACTCTCCTCCTGCCTCAGCCTCCCAAGTGCTGGGAATACAGGCATGCGCCACCACACCCGGCAGGAATAGGTTTGACCTAAGAAAAACTGGGTCGGGGATGTAGCTCAGCGGTATAAGCGCTTGCCTGGCAAGCCTGAGGTCGTGAGTTTGATTCCCTGTACCAAAAAAAAAAAAAAAAAAAAAAAAGAAAAACTGATTTAAAAATTTTTGTACAGCTGGAAGGGGGCATGGTGGTGCACACTGTTAATCCCAGCTCTCTGGAATGCTGGGGCAGGAGGAGCACAAATTCAAGCCTAGCCTCAGCTATTTGGCAATTTAATGGGACCGCATCTAAAAATAAAAAAGGGGCTGAAGATGTAACTTAGTGCAAAGGCCCTGGGTTCAATCATCAGCATGATAAAAAATTTTTTTTAAATTAAAAAAATTTTATACAACACACTGTAGTGATACATGACTATGATCCCAGCATTTGGGAGACTGAGGCAGAAAGACTGTGAGTTTGAGGCCAGGTTGGGCTACATAGTGAGTTAAAGGCCATCTTGGACTGTGTAACAAGACCTTGTCTCAGAAAACAAAAAACAAAAGCCAAAAAAAAAAAAAAAAAAATTGCATAAACATAAAAACACCAGAATTTTTGCTTTTGATTCACATGTTTTCATGTTTACATATTATCTTCCTGTATCATTAACAATAGATATCTACATATATGAAAATGTATATAGTTTAGCTATATCTAAAATAACAACATGCTGTTTTTATTTGATTTTTTTAAAAGTTAGGTTTAAAAAAAAGAAGAGGAAAATAAATCTTAACTTTCAAATTTCAGTGGAATGAAAAGATGTTTTCTGGCTTCTGTAAACTCTATTTCCAGTTTCTTCTTTCTTGTCTGCTATGATTTACAAAATCATTTCTTCATTCTTTGAAATTTAGGCTGTTTCCAGATATTTTAAGTGTAATATGGGTAATGCTGTGATTATCATCTCTTGAAAAGCTTTCTATTTCTAATTATATCTCATTTCTCATGAATGTTATTATTGTCCCAGAAGTAACTCTTTCCTCTTTTCACTTTGCTTTTCTAAATGATTGTACCAATTTGCAATTTTATTGCCCTAGACTATGAGGTTTTATTCCAATCTTGCTACCATTGAATGCTATTTCAAGCATTATTATCATTTAGTTGGTGTATAATGATAACTCATTTGCTTTAATTTTCCTAACTTGATTATTAGAGAGGATTAACTTTTTGAAAAGGTTGTTTACATTTTTATTTCCCCTTGGAATCTCTCTCCTCTAAAAAGCAAAGACACAATCATTTCACTTTGTTTTCCTGGGTCATGCCTATCTGCAAGACCCAAACCAAATTTTTTTTTTTTTTTGGTCTTTTTGAGGCAGAGTCTTGCTATGCAGTTCAGGTTGGCCTTGAGCTCACTTTGTAGCCCAGGCTGCTCTTGAATTTGCAATGATCTTCCTGCCTCAGCCTCCTGAGTGCTGGGATTACAGGCCTGTGCCACCATGCCCGGCCTAAACCACATTTTGGTCTTTATGGATGATCGAAGCCCTTAACATTATCTGCACCAGCCCTTTGATTCTATTCACTCAGCGGCAGAATTTTCTCTACCTGATCAAGGATTCTACAGGAAACAACTCTACCCCAGCTCTTTCCAAACTCAGGAGGGAAGGCCAGTTTACCCCTTCTTGGAACTGGTAGGGAACGCAGAAGCTATTGACAAATGAAATGGTTCTTCAAATTGTTCTTGGCTTTTGGATCCCAACTTCAGCTGTTTTCAGGGGAGTTCTTGAGGCTTCTGTCTTCTAAGATAGGGTAGGAACTGCACGTAGTGACCAGTAGGCTCAGAAGGGGTCCAGGAATGTTTCACCATGATTTTCATTTATCAAATTCTGTCTTACAGATCTTTGGGAGGACAGGGGAGAAGTTCTCTAAGACAGTGGTTTTCAGTTTCCTGAGGAACTGTTTTTCAGACTTTGTCCAGATTTCTGCATTTTGTTGTGTGGTGGTGGTGGTGGGGTGTTAGAGGATCTGGACCTCTGGATCTGAATGCTTTCATGACAAAAATTATTCACACTGTAGGGAGGCATGTCTTGTTTTTTCTTGTCTTTTCTTTTTGGCTTTTTGAGAGATGGTCTCACTGTTGAGATTCAAGCTGGCCCTGAACTCCTGATGATCCTCTTGCCTCAGACTCCCAAGTGCCAGGATTATAGGTGTGTGCCAGTATGCCCCGTTGAGGCTGGTATTTTCTGATTTGGCACATCATCCACCCTTCTTTGATATTGGCACACTCCTTGCCTTTACAACCCTTACTTTTTTTTTTTTTCCAGTACCAGGAATTGATCTCACGACCTTGCACCTGCCAGGCAGGTGTTGTGCCACTGAGCTATATCCCCAGCCCTACAATCCTTACTTGGACTTTCCAGAGCTTCTTGTTCCTTTGGAGATTGAAACACCACAGTGCCCTCTAGTGGTATTTGCGGAGTAGCCAGATCTTTCCAAAAGATGCCTTGGGAGTGTACAGTACTCTCAAGTTTGAGAATTGACTCTGCCTGCAAAGCAAACTTGTGAAAGACAGCAGTGTTTTAGTGGTTCTACCTCCCCCTCCCCCATCTGGTGCTGATTTGAACCCAGAGCTTTGTTCATGTTAAGCATGCCCTTTTCCTGTGAGCCACACCCTGGCCCCGGCTTTTCTTTTATGCCAGTTGGTAGGGGTTAGTTATGTAATGAATCCTGAGCTCACAGTGAGGTCCCACTGCCCCTCTGGGTGTCAGAATACACGTTTCCTGGCCCCCAGGCAAGTGTGTGGAGTTTTCAACTCCAGATATGTTTTCTCCTATCTTTCCCTGTGACGCAATCCTAGGAATGACTCTGTAGTTCAAGTTATAAGAATAAGCTCTAATTAAAAAAAAAAAAAGGCAGGAAAAGAATGGCTTCTCTATTTACTTTTCGTTTATTAGATTTGAAAGCTTTATTCTAGGATAAAATAAGTGGAATGGCAAAGGGAAAGGCTAGGCCTTGCTCAGACTATCCGGTATATGCCGCTGGGTTGGACTAGCAGTGCTGTGTTAGTGCCAGGGGTGCGTTCATCTTTGCTCAGTTTCCATTAGAAGAGTCTACACGGGACGCCCATCTACTGCAGAGCATCTTCCTCCTGTGCTTTCTTTCTTTCCCATTTTTCTTAAAGGTAGAAAGCCAGACTGCGCAAACCCTGCTGAGGCGAATGTGGAGGAGTCCGAACCAACTCTTCTGATAAAGCCTGACGATATTGTCTTAAAAGAACGAGGGAGCTCAGAAAAGGTTCTTCGGACACTTCAGAGGCCAAGTGACAAAGTGTCTCACTGCTATAAGACAAGCTCTTCTGAGATCAACGCAGCTGTAGGAGCTGTTCCTTCTATCTGTAAGTATCTCACCTTTTACGCCAAGTTGTAAAAGGGAGTGTTCTTTGTCTTGCTTGTTCTTAGCTGCACCCTGTATTAGACTGTATGTGCCTCAAAGCCTTGGGCTTTACACTTAATTTTATATCCTAAGCATTTAGAAAGTCTCACATAAATGTCAGCTGAACTGCTGATGGTGACCCAAGGAAAATGATTTTTTTGGAGGGTGGGGTGAGACAGGGTCTTGCTGTGCAGTAGTTCAGGCTGGCCTTGAACTCACTATGTAGACCTAGCTGGCTTCAAATTTGTGATCCTCCTGCCTCAACCTTCCAAGTGCTGGGATTCGAGGTGTATGTCCCCATACCTGGCTCGAAGATTGGAACTTTGACACATGAATTTTGAGAGGGGGCTTGTCAACCTGTAAAACCTTGTATTTGTCTCTCGGTCTATCAGATTGACTGCCAAGATTAACCATCACACACCCATGTCTCAGAATTGAGCATGAATAGTATTTATTTAGAGAGACTATGGCTGCTCAAGTTCACGTCTTTGGACTAAGGGGATGATCAAAGATTTACATATTTTTGTCATCTGGATTTTATAGACACTTTACACATTCTAGTATAATGAGATCATGCCATTCCCTTTAGAATGGTGCTGTGCAGGAGAAACATAATTTGAATAATCTATGCATTATAAAAATTTCTAGTACATTAAAACAGAAATGTGTGAAATTAATTTTGATAGTTTATATATCCAAAACATTATTTCAGCAACTCATCATTAAATATTTTACATCCTTTTCTTTGAGACAGGGTCTTGCTATGCAGTTCAGGCAGACATTGATCTCACTACGTAGTCCAGGCTGGCTTCAAACTTGTGGTGATCCTCCTGCCTCAGTCTCCTGAGTGTGGGGATTACAGCTGTGTACTACCGTGTCTGGCTTTGCATTCTTTCTTTTGTATGAAGACTGAATTTTACTCTCACAGCATACTGCAATTGAGACTGGCCACATTTTGAATGGTCAGTAGCCACATGTGGCACTGTATTGTACAGCTCTCTTAGAGCGTGTGTCTTCTTCTTTCACGGCCGAGGTTACCCCATCCATGGTGTGCCAACTATCCGATCTGACATTCCTGCCCCTCGCATTCGCCGCATCAGTGACAGAACTAATTATGGCGAAGAAGGCAACGCTTATTCTTTACTACATCCTACCATCTTTGCCCAGAAAGGAGTGTTTGAAAGAGACTTCTTCAAGACCAGATCCAAAGAAGAGGTACAGCAACAAATAGGGAAATGTTTACTTATCAGTGATTATTATTTCAGACTTCAAAATTATATCTTTCACATTATAAAAGCTTGCAGTATCCCTCAACATGGGAGGGATGATTATCAATGTTCAGTCTGGTTTCGACATTCTAGTACATTTCGCTTTTTGGGACAACTATTGAATAAGAATTTATTCTCAGAAAGATCTGTCTCCCTATTGCCTACTACCTAGCTTTTGTTTTGCTTAGGGAAGGTGATAAAGAGGGAGGAGGGGAGGAAAGGGATCAGGGATGAAAAAAGACAATGGATTGTTTTATGCACATGAACCAGCTGCACGCATGGAATATAAACATGATGTGCTGCAAGTGTGTACAAAACCCAAACGGAACAAAAAGGCAAGGGGGTCAAGAGATGGGGGGACAGCGGGAGAAGGGAAGGGAAGGGGATGAAAAAAGGAAGCATTACGCAGACGTACCACTCCACATCAGCAACGTTAACATTATGTATTAAACACATGTATAAATACAGGAGAATTTATCCTGTGACAGGAAGCATTTCATCCATGTTATGTATTTATGGTAGACCATGTATTAAAAAGCAGAGCGTTTTCTAAAACATTCAATGTTGTTCCTAATGGGGAAAAGGAGAAGGATCAGCCCCTTCCTTGTCTGAGCATCTTGATGGGCTGTTGGCCTCTAAAATCAAAGAGTAGGCGGGCAGAGGGCCACTCTCCCACGCTTTCTGTCCAGTGATGTCGTGTGTCTCAGAATACCTGAAGCACTGATTTAAAATATTGCATCTTAAAAACAAATAAATAAAGCATTCTGTTCTGCTGCCACATCATATGTCAGGCCATGCATGTTTTTGTTTGTTTGTTTTTCCTTTTTTCAGTGCTCGGGATGAAGCCCAGGGCCTCCTGTGTGCTGGCACGTGCTCTGCCAGGGAGCTACATCCCAGCCTTTTTTTTCTTTGAACTTTGAAACGGAATCTTGCTAAATTGCTGAATTACCCAGGTTGGACCCCGGCTATGATGCTTCTGCCCCCGCTTCTAGAATGCTGGGATGAAAGGCATGTGCCACCATGTCTGGCTGATGACGGATTCATTTCTACAGCTCACTGCCGCTGAGGCGGGGGAGCGAGGCAGGGAACGTGGGGTTAGGGTGCGTGACGGCTGACCCGGAAGGAGGAGCCCAGGGCGCTCCCTGCGGGTGTGAGGAGAGGCGCTCCAGCCTGTTTTCACTTCCCTCGTTCACTCCAAAAAGCCTGTAAAATAGAACTTCGGGACTGCAAAAAAAAAACAAAACAAAGCAAAACAAAGCAAAAGCAATCACAGACCCAAACCAAAAAAACAAACAAACAAACAAACAAAACAACAAAAAAAAACCCACCCAACTACGAAAACTCCTGCTTGTTTCATAATGCCTAAAAATTCTAACTAGGAAGTCATCCTTTTTTCTCACAGTTCTAGATCAAAAGAACTCAAGGCTGACATTAAGCTGAGATTGGGTAGGTTTCACGAAGCGCGTTAGCTTTTGTCAGTGCACTGTTGGTGCTGAACTTGTTGAGAGCTGAGTACCCCCCGAGGAGCGGGGAGGCAGCGCACCCAGTGCCCAGCATCTCCGAGGGCCCTTCCTGAGTTCACGTCAGCAGAGGTGGCCTGTGGCTACTGCTGTGCCGTGGGGGTGGGTCCTGGGGTGTTTTCGTTGTGTAAGTGCACAGTTTTTGTTGTATAACTGCAGCTGCCTGCTGCTCCGCTGCGCTTCTTCGAATTTCAGTATTTGATTATACTGCAAAGGCACGTCATTTCTCGGGCACTTTACATGTTTATTTAAGTTAGTTGTGTATTCTTTGTGCATATTTGTAGAATAGTGATATTTGTTTTGTGGAACTGGCATATAACCTGTCTCCCTTCCCTTCCCTTCCCTTCCCTTCCCTTGCCTTCCTTCTCCTTCCACTCCCCTCCCCTCCTCTTCCCCTTCCTCTCCCTTCCTTCTTTCCATCCTCCCTCCCTACCTTCCTTCTTTCCATCCTTCCTCCCTTCCTTCTTTCCTTCCTTCCTTCTTCCTTCCTTCCTTCTTCCCTCCCTCCCTTCCTTCCTTTCTTCCTTTCTTCCTTCCTTCCATCCTTCCACTGGGAATGGAACCAAGGGCTTTCACACTGAGCTACATCCCCAGCCTCTTTTTTAAAATTTGGGAGTGAGACAGATTTTCATTAAGTTACCCAAGCTGGGGTCAAACTTGCAGTCCTCCTGATTCAGCTTCCCAAGAATGCTGGGATTGCAGGTGTGCATCACCATGTCTGAGCATTTAACATATCGGGATCATTTGCAATCCTTTTACTCTAGGGGATCTTTTAATTGTTGACATTCTGTTTAATGGACATATTCTGCAACTATTCTATTTCTTTGGCTTTCCTATTCACTTTTTTCTCATTTTCCTCTTTTTTCTGTATTCTTTACAGTACGTATATTTATTCTTTTAAATTTAGTGCCTTTAAAACTTTTTATTGGTACATTATATATATAATGATAATATTCATCATAGGAATTTTTTTAAGAAATTAATTTTATTGGTACACTTTAGATATACCTGATATCATTCATCCTATGGAATCTGGTACATGATGCATCTCGCTTTTTTCCCCCTTTTCCTTCCCCTTCTCTCAACCCCTTCCCCCTCATTTACAAAAGCTTTGTTTAATTTTTTCCCTTCTATTCTTTTTTCCTTGTCCCTTCCTTCCTTTCCCCTTCCCCATCTCTTTTTCTCCTCTTAAATTGAACATATTCTTCCCACTTCCCAATATCTATTATACATTTTGGTCCTTATTTACACTTTTGGTTTCTCACAGCAAAGATTGTGGTATTTGAAGATGTGTGTCCAATTTATTTCACTTAAGAGTATGGTCTCAAGGTATGTCCATTTACGTAGAAATGTCTCAAGCTTATCTTCTTTATGACAGAGTAGTATTCCACTATATATATAAAAAAATCACATCTTTATCCATTCATTGGTTGATGGGCATTTGAGCTATTTCCTAGGTTTAACTATTACAAACTGTGCTGCTATAAACGTGGGTGTGCATATATCACTGTGATATGATACTTTTAATTCTTTTGGGAAGATACCAAGAAGGGGAATGGAACCTCTAGTCATAGTTTTTGGGTAATCTCCACACTAATTTCCACAGTGGTTGCACAAGTCTACACTCCTACAAACAGTGCAGTAGGGTTCCTTTTCCCTCACAGCTCCTCCAGCATTTGTTAGTGGTTGATTTCTTGATGATAGTCATTCTTTCTAGAATGAGATGGAATCTCAGTGTTGTCTTAACTTGGATTTCTTGAGTGACAATGATGTCAAACATCTTTTCATATATTTATTTGCTATCTGTATTTCTTCATCTAAGAACTGTGTTTTCATCTCAGATGCCATTTTTGGATTGGGTGTTTAAATTTGCAAGGTCTGATTTAATCAAATTCTTTATATATTCTAAGTAGTAGTCTTTTGTCTGAGGAACATCTGGCAAACATTTTTTCCCACAGTGTGGGTTGTCTCTTCACTCTGTTGGTGATTTCTCATGCTGTGCAAAAGCTTTATGATGAGATCCCACTTGTTGATTCTTTGTGATAGTTCCTGTGTGACTGGAGTTTTGTTCAAAAAGTGTTTGTCTACACCAATGTCTTCAAGAGTTCTACCTATTCTACCTTCCAACAGATTCAGTGTTTCTGTTTTAATATTTAGACCTTTGATCCATTTTTATTTTATTTTAGTGCATGGTGAGAGATATGGATCTAATTTTGATCTTTGGCATGTGGACAGCCAGTCTTTCCACCACGCTTTATTAGAGAACATGAAAGTGTTTGGCCTTTGTCACTTTGGCTAAAGTAGTGCAATAACAACAGCATCAAACACAGCCTA